TCCCACCTCTATTACGGACCTCCCTCTTTCCTTCTTTCCCGCCAAATCCCCTTCTGTCTGTGTGGTCACAGTTAAACCTTGTACGTTCTTTTCCAGGTCCCAGGTATCTATTCCCCAGTGCACACTTTCTCGAGGGGTCGGCGGAGGAGTGGTTTGTACCTCTTGGGATATTCTACTGATGGATGGCACGCCAATGAGAGCTTCTATGCTCTCATCATGCCTCTCACAGAGTGTTTAGTTTTTTGAGGAAGCTAAGTGAATCAGTGGATACTGATCCCAAGGACATAGGAGGGGCTACTATAAATAAAATATGCTTTAATCCCTGCTCTCCACCATTTCCAACAGGTAGAGAAAGGTCTTAGCCTACTTGTGGAACAACAGCAAAGATGGGGCCAGGCTGGCCTCCTGTGAGAGGGAATTCGACATTCTGAGAGATGGGACAAGGCCCTCTCCTGTGTCTCCACGAAGTACACCTGTGCAGGTGGTGGAAATGAGAGAAAAGCCTCCTCTGATTATCTCAACACCTGCACAGGCTCTTTAAGATACAGTTTGTGAGATGGCTTGAACCCAAGCTATTTAAAACTTTATATGTTAAAATCAGTACTTTGAATTGTGCCCAGAAGCAGACTGGCAATGAGTGGAGCTGCTGTAACAAGTCCCAGTAACAATCTGGCTGCAGTATTTTGGACCCGCAAATATTTCCAAGCACTTTCCATGGACAGCCCCACACAGAACGCATTACAGTAATTCAGCCAGGATATAACTAAGACATGTCTCACTGTGGCCAGTGACTAGACTTACAATGATTATTAACAATAACTTCCCAAAAGCTTACAACGAAACTACAATAGTAATATGTTATGTTAGATCAGACAAAACACCATCTCGTCCAGTTGCCTTCATACAGTGGCTACTGGGGAGTCTGACAGCAGAATACAAGTGTAATTATACCCTCTGCCTTGGGAATTGTACTTCCCAGGCAATTGATACATAGAAGCATACTGCCTAATACTGGAGGCAAAATATAGCCATTACTGTATACTTAGTAGTAATTGATGGTGCTGACGTCTAATGAATTTATCCAGTCAATTTATCCATCCATTCTAGTTGGCAGCCATCACTCCATCTTATGGCAATAAATTCCACAGTGTAACTACTCCCTTCTGAAGAAATGCTTCCTTTTCCTTGTCTGAACCTCTTGCCTTTCAGCTTCAATGGATGACTACTGGTTCCAGTACCACAAGCGTGTGAGAAAGACTTTTCCTGACCTGCTTCCTCCACACTATGAAAAACTTTGTACATTATTTTCTAATCCAAACCATCTCAAATGTTGTAGCCTTTCCTGTTGTTCCAGTCCCCATTTCCGCACTTTCCAGCTCCATGATAGCATTTTTAGGTGCTGTAATCAGAAGCAAAGATGATGTTGCACCAAGGAGTTATAATAACAGTATGATACTATCTGTTGTATTACTACATGCCAAAATATTTTACATACTTTTGACTCAAACTCTTCATGTAGATTAAGGTTTTTTTTCCTGTTTTAAATATTTTTATTATCTTTGCAGAGAGAGAGAGAGAGAACAAAATTCTGGAAGTGTTGCCAAATTTCAACAAGCTTATTTTCTTTTATCAATCCCTTACTATATTTTATATGCTATGTCAATTTATCATTAACAGCTATTTCCCAAATGTCATTATACCATTCAATTATTTGACACCTATACTTCAGTTTTCTGGAATTGCTAATCTAGCTGACATTATCATATTTGTAGGTAACTATTCTTTTGTCCACTCATACTGTCTTTCTTCAAATGCGAACAATAATGCACTCTTTGGAGAAAATTCTATTACTGTTTTTATGATTTTAAATACTAACTTCCAAAATGTCAATAGAATATCATATTCCCACCACATATGGAAATAAGTACCTACATCTTGACCATACCTCCAATAAGTTTTAGAATATCTACAGTCAATGTTAATTAGTTTCACAGGTGTCAAGTACCACCTCCAAATCATTTTATAAACATCTTATTTTATCATAAGTGACATGGTTCTTCAAATTCTCTTTTTCCATATACTATTCTATGTGTCAGTACTTGTTTCCTTAGCCTTCCCTCCTGCTGTATCTTAAATTCACATCTTATCAGATTTATAGTATAGTGCATGTTTATTGGTTGAATTGTTTTTAAATTTGTAATGCTGCCCAGAGTAGACCTTCGGTCTAGATGGACGGGGTAGAAATCTAATAAATAAATAAATAAATACATAAATAAATAAATACATACATACATACATATCCATTTCCCATATTACTTTTAAAAATTCTTAGTAACTTTCTGCTTCAATCAACATCTTATAAATCCTAGTCACCATCTCTTTCATTGGTTTATTCCTTCATTTCTCTCTCTGAATTACTAACTCCTCAAATCTTGTCATTTCTTGACACCTGCCATCGATTATATATATATTTTTAATTCAATCCAAAATAGAAGTTGTCTTTTTTTTCTTATAGCAGCTCCACAATGAATTGTAATTTTCTTTGAGCTACCTTCTGTCACAAACCTAAGGTGCCTTTCTTGGCTAGCTCTTGCCAGCTAAGAGCTCACCAGTGTTGCTGTGAAGCTGGGAAGATCTACCCTAACATACCTCACTTTTCAGGTACTTTACACTGAGTCTCATTTGTATTTTATTACTTATTCATTCAATCTGAAGAAATCCTTTAGGAGATCTTTACAATATTCTTTTGCCCTCACCATTCTAAATAGTTTAGTATAGTCCCCACATCTGGCAGCTTACTATTCACCCTTTACTCAACAAAGCAATACAATCAGTCTAGGGGGCTCCAAACTACAGCCCATGGGCCACATCTGGCCTGCCTTGCCTTTTTATCCAGCCCAGGTATAGGTAGAGGAGGGAAGGGGGACCCAGAAATCCCCCACCTTTGCAAACACAGCAGGAGTGGGGAATCACTTGGGTCCCCCTTCCTCCTTCCACCCTCAAAAATATGTAAAATATATGATGTGGCCCTAGCACTGAAAAGTTTGGAGACCCCTGGTCTAGAATATTTCCAAAGGGAAAAAAATATAAAATACCACTAGAAAATACCATCTATAGCACTCATTACCATCTACAATCCACCTACCAGTGGTTCCTAGCTGGTAGATGTTCTTAGACTAAAACGCCAAGAAGCCTTCACAACTATCTGTGCTGACCAGGATTTCTGGGAGTTGAAGTCTAAGAACATCCAGGGACCCACATTTGGAAACCCCTGACATAAACAGTGATGCTTCACTCTCATTGGCCTTAGACAACACACTTATACTTGTTTACAAATAGCTGACCATCTTAAAAAAGTTGAAATAAGCAGCAGCAACCTAGTTCACAATACAAGACACAGAAACCTGATACTGTGGAAGATTCTGCTACCAATACTGTCCCTACCACTAATTTGGCAAAATTATTGTAGGACCTTAGAAAGTCTCATCAACAGCATCAGAGGTTCATAAATCTGTTTTTAATGCAGTGCAATATCTGCTATTATTTCACACCAACACCTTCGACACAGGAGAAATGGAAAAGAATAAATAGAAACAAATCTGACATGCAAAGCTGCATATTCAAAAACCATTTGGAGGAAAACTACAATCTCCTGGAACATTTTGTAAATGATCTTTATGTAAGCACTGTAGCACAAAGGAGCTTCAAAGACAGATTGCAATGTCACTGAATACAGCAAAATGTCACTAAATACAGCAATGTCACTGAATACAGCAAAAAATCAACTTTACATTCAATGGAGCAAAAATGAATAATGTTCACCCGACAGCACAAATTAATCACCACAGCAATGCAATTGATTTTGTCATCATACAGCAGTGTTGTGTGTGTAGTTTTGCACTTCATCTCCCTCTTATCTCACTTTTTATAATCCCCAACCCATCAACATTCACCCACATACTTACTAGGTTGCTACAAGACTTTGTGTATCAAGCGAAGCTGATCGTGTCTAGAAAAAGTTACGTCATGATAACATTCTGTGGGGGTGGAGCCAAGTCCAAATATTACAGTACTCCCAGTTAAATTCATTAAATCAGTAGGGCTTATATAAGGGTTGACTTAACTTCCAGCCATTCAATGGGTGTACTCTAGCTGGGACTCCCAAACAGATTTAGCCTTTGTACTTTTGACTGCTTGCGGTGCAATAGATGAACGGAGTCCTCCCTTTGGGATTTTTTTTTGCAAATAACGAATGCCTCTGAAGTGTCACTTTATTAAATCCAGACCTTCCAGAAGGCTCTTCCTAACCCGGGATGTATCTTACAGTTCTAGGCCTGCAGAGCACCAGAAGCTTCA